TAGGATAAAGTGATTAGTTGATTATGTACATAAAGTTGATGATTTTTTAAATACGCCTGATTGCAAAGAATATCTAGTTAAGTACCTACTTTTTTTATTATTGGTTTAACTAAACAGAATTTTAGGTAACTTGATATTTGCTTACCTACTTATTTATAAATTTAAAGCAGTATAGTTATTGTAATAGTAGGTATCTAATAGAATTTTTGCAATTTGACGGTCCTAAGCCCGTAAAAGTATGAAGGAAAGGTTTCAACTTTATGTACCATTTGCCCTAGCATGAAAAAACGAAAACATTTTAGGTAGCTGCTACTAACTCGCAAACGTACTTGTATTACTATCAATGAATTGCGGGAAGGGAGGGGGGGGGAACTAACGTAGCGCGTAAAGCGCACGTACTGGGCAGCGGGAGCGTCCACAAATGTATGTTTTTTGAAAATAACTTGGTGACGATATAACTCAACATTTTTGTTCTAAACGACATAAAAAGAAAAAACACGTATTTCATTATTTGTCGTAAAGATTAACATACTAAAATTTGGAGAGTGGTTTTAAATGCTTCTTGTATATTTATTATCTCATATCAAATTAATATCAATATATTCAACTAGAGTCTGGCTAATGAAAGTAGACACTGGGTTTATTTGCAAACTTTTGACATGGCAATACTAAATGTCAATATCAAAGTGGTAAGATGGCGGTTCGTTGTCATTTGTTGTGTTTTATCGTGATCTTGTTTTTGTGATTTACGTACATAAGGATGAATAAAACAATTAAAAGTGGTGTGCGGGAGTTATTGTTCCGTATGATTTCCAAATTTCAAGAACAAAAAGAAGAAAATGATGCTGTTTTTGAAGAAAAACAGGGTTGTTTACGCGTAATATTAAATTTTTTTGGTTAGTAAAACAATATTACTTTGATACTTTGTTATGTTTACTTTTTAATTTGAGTTAAAGAAATCATAAACAATTGCGTATTTACCATTTCTACAAGCACATTTATCATATAACGTATTAATATAATTAAAAAAAATAATGAAAGTATATTTATTTACAGAGAATTTGGAGGATGTTGCAGGGGTAAATAAAATAGTTGAAATTATCAAAAAACTTACTGATTTGGAGCAGAAAAACAGATTAACAAATCAAAATCAATACCTAGAAAAAATAGCTTCACTCACTGGTAACTTTACTATTGTAATTTGTATGTACATACATATTTCAAATAATTTTTAATTGTTAGTAAATACAATTTATTTTATTTATTTTTCACAGAGGTTAGTGTAACAACATTAAAACGAATAAAAAAGGAAGGTGCAGTAAATGATGGTGTCTGGAATACTCCAGGAAAAAAACGGCCACACAAACCCACAGTGTCAGAGTTAGATAGTTTTGATGTAGATGCTATTCGCAATAAAATTAATGAATTTTATATTGTGAGAAAACATGTTCCTACATTGAAAACACTTATGCTGGAATTACGGGAAAGTATTCAATTTAATGGATGCCGGGAAACTCTTCGCCGAATATTATTGGCAAATGGCTTTGAATTCAAAAGAAACAAAAGTGAACGTTCATTATTAGTTGAACGCTATGACATATCTGCCTGGAGACACCGTTTTTTAAGGGCCATAGGTATTAAACGTGCAGAAGGGAAACAAATAATTTACTTAGATGAGACCTATGTTCATAAAAACTACAAACCCAAAAAGTCTTGGCAAGGTCCTTCTACAAGTGGTGCGATTGAAAATATTTCAGCAGGAAAAAGGTACATAATTGTACATGCTGGCTCGGAAAGAGGCCCTGTACCAGACTCATTGATAGTTTACAGCTCTAAGTCAAAAATGGCTGACTACCACCATGACATGAATGCTACAAATTTTAATAAATGGCTACAAGAAAAACTTATACCTAATTTGAATGAGCCAAGTATAATAGTTATGGATAACGCTAGCTATCATTCAGTAATTGTAAATAAAGCTCCTACATTACAAAACCGCAAAAATGAAATAAAAGAATGGCTTAGTATAAATAATATTCCATTTGAAGACTACCACACGAAAGCAGAACTGCTATGTTTTGTAAAATTGCACAAACAAGAGCCAATATATGAAGCTGATGAACTTTTAAGGCAGAATGGTCATGAGGTGTTGAGACTTCCTCCTTACCACTGCGACTTAAATGCTATTGAATTGGTATGGAGTTTGGCTAAACGTAAAGTAGCGAGTAAAAATATAGCTCTGTCTGCAGTAGAGTTAGAAAAGGTGATAAAAGAGTCATTTGAAAACATAACACCTGTGGAATGGAAGAAAATGACAGATCATGTTATACATGTGGAGGATAAATACAAAGAAAGAGATTGTATTACAGAAGATAATTTGGAAAGTTTTATTATCAATGTTGGAGATAGTGATTCCAGTGACTCTGATAATGAATCCCTACATATGGAATTCTTAGATTCAGATTTTGATTATGGTGATTAAATATATATTTTCTTAATCAATACAAACATATTTTTTATTTATTTTATTTTTTTCGTTCTAACATCTCTCTATACTAATATAAAGCTGAAGAGTTTGTTTGTTTGGTTGAACGCGCTAATCTCAGGAACTACTAGTTTGGATTCAAAATAATCTTTTTGTGTTGCACAGCTCCAGTCATTTATATTACTTGTGTATGTTATACATTATTGTATTATTAAATAATAATCTTATAAATTACTTATACCTTGTATTTTGCAAAAGTATCAAAATACTTTATTCCAAGAAATGCCTACTGTTTTTAGGGTGGTCATGCTTTTATTTTTTAAATTTGCCGCGTTTTTTCAGTGTCTACTTTCATTAGCCAGACTCTATACCAATATATATAACTATGTTTATTCAAAATACCTTTTTGTTTAAATTCGGGAATTCTGATATTGAAAAATGGCTAGTCCAATGTTTGATACGATACATAAACTAAAATCAAACAGAGTCCATAGTTAAATGTGTTAATTATATTACGCTAAAAACGGAAATCATTTAAAAGAGTATGAAAACATTGATTCATAAAAAGATTAAAGATATAAGTAAACTCGATTCAAATTAAAATACACACCTTATGCCAAGAAAAATAATATAATCATGACATTGTATCATAAATGCTAGAGATAGATCAATTCCGTTTTATATAAATTAAATTAAATATTTATTGGTAGCTACAAATATCCACAAAAGAAGACTTTCTAATTATTTTCTGACCTCTTTAGGCATTCGTGGCGAAAACTCGAAGAATATTAATTATAATATATGTAGTAGGTTAAGTCAACCCATTTAGGTGCATCAGTTTTCTACGTGTTCATCCTTTTTCATGGTAAAATTTTCACTTACGAACCCTCTAGAACTAAAACTTCAATTAGCATTCTGAACCGCTACTAACTTTAATATTATAGCATTATCAACAGCACAAGAGAGACAGAAATATTACACAGTTGTGTAATATTTCTCTGTCCAATGTTAAACTTGAATACTCTGTAAAGAGAATTTGAAAACTATTAGATGTTTACAACAATCTAATGAGTGCATATTGGCGTTTTATTTCAAATAACTGTGTCAAATAACTCGATGTTGACCAAAAATTCTACACTCCATTTTATTAATATCGATACAAAGGAGTTCTCTTTCTCATCTCTAAATTAAAATTAAAAACATAATATCTACCTCCCCGTCTGTTCACTCAAATAGAACAAGGAATGAGGATATGGTACAAAATTTTTATAAACAAATCTGTCAAATTTCGCAATTGATTTTAAACTTTAGAGAGTTGAAAATCAATCGCGGACTCGATCGATATGAATTTTTTTAATCAATCAATTCTACCTACTTTTTAGTTTAACTACATACACCATGTAGTATACATGTAAATTACAAGCAAAAAATAGTTTAATATACAAATAAATATTATTATCTTATTTTCTAAAAAGAAAATTCAAACTAAAACTGTTTCAGAGTTATTATGAATTTATATAAGTAATTGTAATTCCCTTGTTTTAAACATCGATCAATTTGACGTATTTTTTTTTTATTTTAATTCTGATAGCGATGTCTTTAACTTTGCATACCGGTTTCCATAATTATAATAAAATACTAAATATTAAATATCTATTACATCAATCACAACATTTAAGAACAATTATACAGTAAATCTCAAATAATATCTTTCACAAATTTACAGTAAGATACAACTGATGTGTCTTTAATGTGAATTTTAGAGATGCGCCTAATAGTGAAACCGGATATTCGGTCTATCATTTCACTATTTTGACGCGTAAACAGGTTTAAAAACAAATGTTGATTTGAATTTTAATTGCTTTATTTTATTAGCTTTATTGAATACATTCTTCATAGCATTTCTTTGACTTATAATATAACATAAATCTTACATAAGAAGTTCTGTCTTTTAGTACGATACAGTGTCATGTAGCCGCTGTATAGTACTAACACCGATCATCATCATTTTCCGTAAAGCCGATAATGCGGCCAAATACGAATAGTAAAAAAAAAAATACCGAATACGCAGAATACCAATTACCGAACGAATATTCGGCGCATCTCTAATAAATATTGAAGCACGTCTAATGTCGACCAATCAGAATGCTTCAAGAATCAGACCATCAAACGATCCACCAATATCCACGCATGCGTTGTATTTTACACCTTACATTTATTAAAATAAAGCTGACTATTTTTAACGCAATTGTGATCTGCGCTAAAGAATATTCACAATGCATATTAGTTAGGATTTACTGTAATAATTTTCGTGTCGAATATCATTGTTATTAACTGAACTAACTCGAAATAAAGAAAAAAACATAGACAATAATTTTCCCGCCAATTTTATTAGTACGTCACATTACATGTTTAATAATCTCTGTTTTAAAACATAGATTTTACACCAAAATGATAATCTACCCAATATTGTTTATATTTTAATTTCAGTCCAATAAGCGTATCTTTTACTTCTTCAATCGACCGACGAGTCTGAATCGTCGTTCTTGGTTAGAATATAGAAGGCGATGACGGGAATCGAACCTAACACCATACAGGATCCCATGCCGTAGAAACACCATGAGTAACCACCTGTCACATCTCTGACGAGACCTGTAAAATATTATATTTAAAATCATAGGCTTAGACAACGTCCAAAAAACTAGTTAAGTGCGAGTCGAACTGGCGCACGAATGAGGAACTATTAAAAAAAAACATTAGTACCCGAAATCAAACTAGATGTCGCTACGGTACTTTCTTGATTTCTCTATGACAACCCTACCGGTTTTCTTTCATGTTTAAAGGTAAATTTATTATGATATAGAAATGGCGAATTTGTTATGTCAAACGAAAATCAATGTGTGCTCGACGAGAATAGAATGGTGCTCCCGAGCCCCCGCAATGGGGACGATGACGTATAAAAGGTACGGCGGCGGCACTGACCGGCGGTGGGCGGCACGGAGACGGCGGCGAGGCTCTGGAACATGCGCACGAGCCCGTAGGAGGAGGCGATGCGCGCGGTGCCGAACGCGTCCGCCAGCAGCACCGGCACCAGCAGGAACCAGCAGCCCAGGCACAGCCCGTACGCACCTGACGCGTGACGCGTTACGCAATACTTCCGTCATTGGATAGTTTCGGTAGTGAAACATAAGTGGCGGAAATAAACATACTCTGGTTTTGAGTCTTAGACTTTATTTGTTTACTAGCTTTTGCCCGCGACTTCGTCCGCGCAATATAGTTACTTTGGGCAACATACATTTTCCAAAAACGCTGTTGTTTTTTGAGCTGATGATGAAATTACCTTGATGTTTAAGTTCGAAGATAGGACAACAAAAAAACCAACAAATGTCCAATATGTTTCAGCACTGTATCTTTGTAACTTTAGATATATTAATCCAATTGGATGGATTGGATGGATCCAATGCAATTTGAAATACGGATGAAAAAAGATTTGTTCTGAAGTTTACAAAAAAATTAATCGAAAACGTAATCTACGCAAAATTCTTTGAAAGAAACGATACCATCTAGGCACAAAGCCATCTATTGGGTGTATTTGCTACCTAGATGTCAAACGATATTGAAAATTTTATCTATTTAATTGAAGATTTTATCAACGTACATCGCCATCTATGAGAACTTCATAAAACTAAACAGTAAATAAACACTTGCTTAAGAAACAATTAATTAGTCCATTTTATTCGTTTACATTCACGACATAAGCAAATAATTCAGATGATAACCATCATATCCAGTAAGTTAGACCGAATGTGAAATTTGATTAAAATCGGTTCAGTAGTTTTGGAGTTGCCAATACAACATACATCGTGACACAAAATTTATATATATATATAAGATTTATTAAGATACAAAACAGGATATAATAGGGTATTTGACGCTATTCTGAAAACTATTTAAAATGGTTGTTTGATACATTTTAAACACACTGTCAATATATTTCATGAGAATCTGCTCTATTTTTGATGAAAATTATTGTTAAAGTTTAAATAGCCAAAATCGCGAGAAAAACGCTGCTGTATGTAATGGCGCTAATCACGTGGTATTAGTGACGTCACATGGCGGTAAATGTGACATCGATTTCAGTGTCGTGACGTTAAAGACATCAGCGTCGGTGACGTCAATATAGTTCTCGTTTCGTCATTGCGAGTGTCGTGACTGACACTCACACAGAAGTCACTACACGATACGATGTCTATAACGTCATGACACTGAAATCGATGACACAACACTCACATTAATGTCACGACAATTTCTTCGACCTCATTCGATCACGACACTTACATCGATGTCACGACACTCGCATCGACTTCCACTACACACAAGTCGATGTCCCGACACTCACATCGACTTCGACCTCGATGTCAAGACACTTACACAGACTTCACGACACTCACACTCACGTCGATATCACGCCACTCACATCGACTTCAACTACATGCAAGTGGATGTCCCGATCCATGTCGATGTTTCGACACTCGTCGATGTCATGACACTCTCATTGTCATTACTGACACTAACAAAGATGTCACGACACACATCGAATCGATGTCGCGACACTCACACAGACATCAATGTCATGACACTCGGACAGAGGTAACGACATTCACATCGTCGTCACCCACATTGATGGCCCGACACTCAAATCAACGTCATCGATATCACGACACTCGCATCGGCGTCGCGACTCTCACATCGATGTCACCAATACTGACGTCGATGTCAGGACACTCACGACGTAACCGACACTGACGTCGATGCCACGACACTCGCTCAGACGTCACGACAACTACATCGATGTCACCGACACTGACGTAATTGATGTCACGATTGATGTCTCGACACTCACACAATGAGGAAGTATTTAAAAAAAAACATAAGTTCCCGAAATCAAACTAGATGTCGCTACGGTACGTTCTTGATTTCTCCATGACAACCCTTCCGATTTTCTTTCATGTCTAAAAGTGAATTAATTTTCAAAACTCAATAAACAACTCATATTCTATTTGTACTTTTTCGTATTTGTATTAATATCTAAGTTTCGAACTTTGCAAACTTCAGTTTTTTAATATGTTAGTTAAAAGGAACGGAAATGACTGTCTTTGGTCCATTCGTTTCCTGCAAAAATCAAGTTTTGCTAGAGTCGCCATCTAGTGGAGGTGCTTTTTTAGTGCTTTCGTATTTTTTTAAATACTTCCTCATTGATTTTGATGATGTTTGAAAATTACACCGACACCAATACACTAACATCGACATAACTTTAAATTAATATTACATTTATTTTTATTTATTAAATTTATTTATTTATTTATTTATTTATTTATTTATAAATGGTACACAAACAGATCATAATCAAAAGAGAAACCTACAAACATATTTAAAGTATTTGGACTAGACTATAATCTAAAAACAGTGTACACAGCATGAACAGTATTAACTTACAACATGAACAGATCCTTAAGTAACTTTTAGTATACAGTAAATTTAAATATTAACTGGTGTTAATATTATAATTATAGAAATTTGTCTGATATTATTTTTTTATATTTTGAGAATTTATTATTGAAAATATCGACAGTTCCATCATTACGATTCAATTCGTTATATGTACGAGACATTCTTACGATCGGGTTATAAAAAGAGGTATTATATTTGTAGACTCGGATTGAAAATGTGTTAGGGTAACGCGACTTATGCCTGGTATTAATGTAGACTGAAGAAAGTAACCCAGGTGAATCAATAAGCGAATGCACTATTTTATGTATACAGAGGAGGTCATATCTAAAATGTCATCACTACACATGTAATCATATTATTTTGACATAATTCACCGTGCGAGCGAGCCCATTGCGGATTGGTAGGTGTTTACAACTACAGAAGCATGTAGTGTCTTTCTGTGAATAAATTTTTGAGGACCCATCCTACGACTGACCTTTGAGAAAGTTGTAGACCGGAGTCGCTCACGACTTCACCATGAAACTCTGTCTATGTCTTTACTAATATTATAAAGAGAAACATTTAATAGTTTGTTTGCATCGGATGAGTTCCAAAACTACTGAACCTATTTTAAGAATTCTTACACCCACGGGAAGCTACATAATATGTGATGAACATAGGCCATATTTTATCCAGGAAAACAGCAAATAAGCAGAGGTTTGTATAGGGACCTAAAAATACAATTTTTAACCATACTAACCATTTTTTACTATTTAAATTGGCATTGTGATTATATCAGTGTCGTGATATGAAACCTTATCCAAATGAAATATTAAATAAATCCTAAGCCAGGATAAACATATGGGCTACTTTTTATCCCGCTGAACAGTTCCCTAGAAACCACGCAAGTGAAGTTGGAGGAAAACTAGTTTGGTTTGTAAGTGAATAAAAAAAAAAACAAATTAATGAAACAACATCTAATTCTATATTCCTTTATTTCGTTCGTCAACTTTCGTAGTTTTTCTCATTACATATTTGGGTACTAGAACAATAAAGTTTATCACTTACATAGCAGGGTTCGGAATGATAATAATCTTAATAATTTGTATAACACCACACAAACTCTTTGCGTACTTTAGAACTTGTTATTAAAGGGTAATAATCTTTTACCAAGATCAAATATGGCTTTTTTGATATAGAAAATAGGGATGATGACTAATTTTTGTTTGTTTGTCCGTCAGGTAGAGTGTTAAAAAATATTAAACACGTATTTTTTTATTTTTTCGGTCATAAAATTACAGCGTTACATTGAGTCGACATTTCGCATGACGTCACGTTATGGTACGTTTTCTACTCAACTGTGACGTAGCGAGCCCCCACTCCTCAACTTTAATGCCTGTTATCTAAGCTATATCTTGTTAAATTGAAGTAAAAAAAAATACGTATCTAATATTTTTCTATTATCTGACTGACGGACTAAATAGAATTGCATTTTTTTTACCCAGTCATCATCCCTAGTGACTAGGACGATTTTCATTTTATTCAATGTGGTTTGAATATATTTTAATAATTTAAAGCAACAAAAATCAAAATTATTTATGCTTTTCTGTATTTTAAAATTTGTTGCCGGTAACCACCGATTATTATCAGATATTTATCAATAATTATCAAAAAAGTATTTTTTTTGATAATTACAAACCCTGTTAGTATATAGAGTTTAATATCAATTACAGGATCCTCATCACATTATGGCAAATATGTCAATTTATATCGGTCATTCAAAAACTTGTGTTTGTATTATTATTAATTTAAAGAATTTAATCTACCATTTATATATATGTATTTTTTAATGTTACCAGTACCCAATACCACCAAAAAACTAATAGACGAAGAGCTAGTGACAAAAATGTGCAAGAGCTTTCTAAAGCTTAACATTATGTTGTCAGTATGTTGAAGTACCGGTGCGGAGGTCAAGTGCTAGAACACCTGATGGCGGCCGGGCAATGTGGAATACCAAAAATCGTAACATAGATTAACACTGAAATATCAAGCTTTAGAAACTTGCACATTTTTGTCACGGTCTCTGAGACTATAAATCATTAAGATATTATTTTAATACATATATAGGTAATATATTAATTATTAGTCCAGTCAGAGTAATTCAAAGAAGATCAATGTGGTGTCAGTTTTGGCTCAAGATTTGGCCGATGCAAAATTAGGAAAACAGCTTAATAAATATAACTAGATGGTTGACACGTAATGACAAGATTAAAAAATTTTTAGAAGACTTAGGAAAAGAAACATGAACAGCTTAAAATATAACAATGATTTAATATTAATTACCGAAATTAAATTTACAATGGAAATAAAATTTGGAAATCATTTCATGTACAGATTTATTGAATACTTATATACTACGATGACAAATTTTCCAATAAAATCTTATTTCACACGAGGTAATAAGAAAAAAAAATTGAAAAAATTGTCGTTGACAGATTGATGACATTTGCAAGATGTAGATTGCCATCAGATTTCTGAAAGCAAAAAGAACTTATTCTGCAATATAAAAGACGCATGAATCATTCTAGCATCAATTAGCACTTAATTATCGATCTAACCAAATTCGCGAGTTGAACTGA